CGGAGGCGCCCGGGCACCGCCTAGCGCCTAGGCGCCGCCTAGGCGGCCGCCTAGGCCGATTTTTAGAACAATGTGTTTTAATGGTATTTTTGTTTTTTTTTTGTTGTAATATATATTCCTTTGTTTTAACATATTTAACTTTTCTTTAAGAAAAATAAAAATAGTCTTGTTATTTTAGTGATAAGTAGCTCCCAATTAGTTTAAAATTTCATAAAAATTAATTTAAATTATGTTACATGTAACTTATTAGGAACAAAAAGGACCAATATTTTGCCCCCATACCATAAAATTTGAACACTTATTAACCAGAAAATCAGATTTCACATCAGATGCAATCAAATTCAGATGCAACAAATTTGAAAAAAAAGTTGATGATTTCAATAATATAAAATAATGCCAGAGCTAATTTTATTGCAATGTAATCAGGTATATAATAAAATAATAATTAATTGTTATAAATATGTGAAGGGGATGTATAATGGATTTAACAAATATATATATATATATATATGTAGAAATAATAAATTTTTAAATAAAAGTTTTATATTAAAAATTTTGAGGTGAAAAAGCAAAATAGAGAAAATTATCTATTAGGCATTTTTAACCACACAATTGAACACAAATATTTAGGCACAAACGGATTCGTTACGGATTGCGTGACAAACAAGGGACTTTGATTTCCTCATGGTCTATTTTTGTTTATTTATAATGTAATATTTTTTTTATGGAAATTAATTATAACTTTACTAACTAGGAAAGAAAATTTGATATATCAATTCTATTCCTCTTAGTTATAGGAAATTCTCCAAAACATCATCTATAAATAGTAAAATACACAACCCAACAAAAACAAATCAAGAAAGAATCAAACTCAACACTAAGAGAACAGGAAATCAAAGCAACTAACAATGGCAAAAAGCTTAACCTACGTTCTCGCTTTCCGACTACCGACCAGAAGCCCGAAATCCGACCCGGAAAACCTCACGGTTGGAGTATCCATCACGCTCGGTTCCGCCCCAACAAACCGCGTCGGAAAATTCGTCCCGATAATCGACAACACGCCGTCGAAAACCGAGTTCCGATTCCCGCGCTCGACTTTCCTCTCGACCGACCTACCCGACCAGCTCGACAAAATATCCGAAATGCTCGACAAGCTCGAAATCACTTTCCCCTTCCGAGAAGACATCCATTGGGGCATTCTCGATTTCCCCTCGGACGACGACAACAACCAACGTTCGCTAAACCTCGATGAGACCAAATCCCGGCTCCTCGAAACCGTGCGCGCGTGCGCGAACGACGAGAGCACGAGCAAAATCAATGTTCGGATCGGAGAATTGGAGAAAATACGAGACGAGGATTATAAGAGACTGGCTGACGAGAGGGAGAGCCGTAGGAATAACAATCTAGGAGGGCGGGGCCCACTCGACGGGTGGATAAGGGAGAATTCGAACGACGTGAGGCTACGCGATTCGCGGTGGTTCGGGATCCTCCGCGGGCTTACCGTGAAGTCGCCCGCGGAGAACAAGTGCTTCGGAATGAGGTCGGTGAAGGTCTCGGGAGGGAACAACAACAACGAGTGCTCGATTTGCCTCAAGGTTTTGAAGAAGGGCTCGAAGGCTATACGGATGCCATGCGGGCACGTTTTTCATGGATTTTGTATTCTAAGGTGGGTCTATGTGAAGCCGAGCTGTCCGTTTTGTCGCTCGAGATTGTGTGATGATGGTTTCATAGGGCCCGAAGATGAAACATTACTAAATTCTTTCGAGTAAAATTGGAAATCGAGTGTCTTCAACATTCACTGTTTTTCTTTTTTTCTTTTTTTTTTTTTCTGGAAATTCAAGTGTCTCAACGATTTTAAAGGAAGCATAGAAAATGCAGACATGGATATGTAATAACATAATCGGACTTACAATAAACAATACACAAACTTGCCCGATTACGATACTAATCATCGGTTTATTAACCTAACCAGTAGTCGATTATCCAAACCCAAACATAATGCAATATCAAGTACACACCACCGTTCAAACCTCACTCTCGTGGAAACCTTTCAATCTCATAAGTAGTTCAGAACCTCAAGTAACAGTATTAAGATGGTGAGAAGTACACCTAAAAAAAAAATACTAGTTGAACCAAGAATTAAAACAAGGAGAAAATGGTGGGAAATTAAATCCACAGATAAAACTCAACTCCCAAATCCCAGTCAAATGCCAAGTTTTTTCATCTAAAAACATGTATTTATGGTTTGTATAAACGAGAAAAACAGTGAAATCGAACTTGCAGCTTGTTTATAAATATAAATAAATTATCCGACACATATACAGATTGGTCCTTTTTCTTTCACATAAAATATAGTATATGTATAATTCTTTTCACGAGACATTCTAAAAGCAATATGCCGGCACAATGGCCGGACGGTAAACAAAGGGTCTAACAGTATGAGAATAACCTGAGGGATGATTGTAACTGAACTTCACACCGAAATTACCTTCTCCTAAATGAGTGCAGTGACTATGGAAGCTGCTAATGGGCCTCGCCAGACATGAATCCCAACGCTCACTCTCGGGCATAGTCTCAGCTACTACATATACTCCATTCGAATTCGTGAAGGCTTGGTAGTTCAAAACTTCGCCAGATTTGGTTATGCAAAGCACTGCCACCTCAGCACCTGCTTGAAGAAAAGCGAAAAAAATTGCCAAGGTATAAATGTTTAGAAATCGAAACTCAAGCTCGTGGTGAAGTTTAGCAATTGCCCAAATGTATCAAATCTGAACTTGTAACTGGCCCCTAAAATGCTCGACAGATTTTTTGTCGATATGCAGCCTTCTGCAAATGAAGGGGAAAAAAATGCTACCTTTCCAGTTGCTACATTACCAATCAGGCCAATGAACAAATAGCTTAAGAAGTGAGAAAAAATCACAAAGGTATAAACATTTAGAAATCGAAACCCGAGCTCTTGGTGAAGTTTAGGCAATTGTTATCCTGAAAGTCCTAACGTATGATATCTTAATTCGTAAGTTGAACCTAAAATCTGTAAATGGAGGCAAAAAGATGCTACCTTTTCAGTTGCTACATTACCGATTAGGCTAATGATGAACAAATAGCTTGAGACAAAACAAATTTATTCAAGATATACCAAATTCTGAGAGAACAAAAGGTAGAGCTAAAATGAAACCATCGTATCAAAATTCCAATCATCTGAAGACAGGAGAAGAAGAAAAAACGACCCAATATGGAAGGAAACGCCATTGACAAACATAGCAGAATGAAATTCACTTCAAAACCCATCAATCAACGCGAATTCAAAATCCCAAATCTCACATGATATTCAGGGCCGCAAAACCCATCAATCAACACGAATTGAAAAACCCAAATCTCACCTTGTAGGACATGATCTTCAGGGCCGATTGAAGAGTCGGCGCACACATCGCACACTACCCGGCCGTGGACTTCGCCGGTCCAAGATCTAACTCCGGTCACCAATACAGCTACAATTGTTAAACAGAAAAACCAGTCTGCCCTTAGTCTTCCCCACATGGACTCCATTACCGAACAACTTCGATTTTCTGAATGTATTACGATCGTCTTTCTCTTCTGATTGCCCAAGTTTGGGACTATGAGTGAGCCCAATGCTCATTATAAAGGATAAGGGTTTTCCATTTTCCCTAAAAAGCTTCGTTCAAGCATGAAAATGAAAAGATACATCTTTTCCAATTATTATTATCATTAATCATTAATAATATATTATTATTAAAAGTGATTAAGAATTAATAATTTTTCATGCAAAAGGAAATGTTGTGGGCGTTTTAGTGGGCGATTTGACATGTTTGATTTGATTTGCTTTTGAATACTTTTTCATTTGCTAGTAAGGGTAAGATGAATAATACTAATCAAAAAATTAAAACTTAAGTTGTAATAACAAAATAATATTTTCTCGTTTATTTTAATTTCCATTCTTAGTTTTATGTTATATTACTAATTATTTGTGGTTTCAGAAAATAATAATATGATATGAGTAATGCTATAGGTACATAATGTTGTACATAGAGGTGTACATAACACTCACATTGAGTGTGACCCACTACAATAAAAAAGGAAAATATCACATGTACATAATAAATGTACATAGAGATGTACATAACACTCACATGGAGTGGGGTCGACTTAATTTTTTATTTTAGTGGGTCCCACTCAATGTGAGTGTTATGTACACCCCTTATGTACAATATTATGTACCTATAGCATTACTCAATAAAAAATCAAGTGGACCCTACTCCATGTGAGTGTTATGTACATCTTTATGTACATTTATTATGTACATGTAGCATTTTTCATATGATATTTATTACATATGTTTATAATACTATTTGTTTAATAGATTAATAATTTAATCATAATCATATATTTTGAATTTTTCAACGTGTTGTAGAAAATGAATCAAATAAAATATTTTACAAACATGATGTTATTTATTTATTTATTTATTATGAAGAATGTTTGTATGAGTTATTGCGCATGTTTTTAAAACATTTTATATCTAATTTCACTAATTAGATTTAATTTGTATGTAGTAGAAAATGAAATAAAAAAATATTCTATATACATGTTGTTATTTATTTATTTATTTATTATGAAGAATGTTTATGTGTTATTTATTTAACATGTTTCTAAAATGTTTTATATCTACTTTCACTACTATTAGATTTAATATTTATGTACAAAATTTAAGATAAAAAAATAATTATAAAACTCTAGGCAAGAAGCACAAACACTTATAATTATTTTGATTTACAAGGTATAAATTATGAAAATTAGATAAAAATTTAAATTGAAATCTTTAATAAAAAAATATAATAAATAACGACTCGATGCCTAAAGTAAGCCAATCACCTGATGCCAACTACCCAATGCCTAAAGTAAGCCACAAACAAACAGAGCACAAAATCCACCGTGAAAGAACAAGTAATTTCTTCGCAACTGGCATTGTAGGACATGATCTTCGGCCGATTGAAGAGTCGGCGCACACACATCGCACACTACCCGGCCGTGGACTTCGAGTGTCCAAGATCTAACTCCCATAGCCAGCAGAGCCACACAATTGTAAACTGGAAAAACCAGGCTGCCTTAGTCTTCCCCATTCTCCATTACTCAATTTTCTGAACCGATTACAATCGTCTTTCTCCTCTGATTGCCCAAGTTTGGGACTTTAATCGAGTTAGCCTATCTTACAAGGGAAAGAGGTTTCATAAAAAGATTCGTTCACCCTTACATATAAATGGGAAGATACATCTTTTCCAATTATTATTATTATTATTATTATTATTATTATTATTATTATTATTATTATTATTATTATCATTTTGCTTTTGAATACTTTTTCATTTGCCAGTAAGCTTAAGATGAAAAATACTATTTAAAAACACTAAAACTTAAATTGTAATAATAAAATGATGTTTTCTCCGTTTATTTTAATTTCCATTCTTAGTTTTATATTATATTACTAATTATTTGTGGTTTCAAAAAAATTTAATTATAAAAAATATAATTAAAGTAAGTTATGAGAAATTGATCATTAGAAATCATTAGAAAGTTTTATATTATATTACTAATTATTTGTGGTTTTAGAAAATTTTAATTATAAAAAATAATAATTAAAGTAAGTCATGAGAAATTGATCTTTAGAAATCTAATAACTAAATATAGAAATTCATCATTAGTTTTCTTGTTTTATCTCTAGAATTATTATTCTTGTTTATCTCTAAAATTATATTTAATAATAAATGGATGAAAATAAGAAATAGTTAAAAATATATAAACAGATGGATAGTAACTATTATATAGAAATGTGTAAAGAATATTTTTTTATATTTAAAATTGTATTAATAGAATTATGTATGAAAATTTTGAGATAAATGAAGAGAGTGATAATTTTTTTTATGTATATCCAATTTGAGGGTTAGGGTACTAAATTAGCATATTTGTTTTCTTTTACTTAATAGTCATCGTTTTACCATGGTTGAA